ACTTTTCCTTCCAAAGTAAATACTACAACAACGATGCACATGGGAACCAAGCAGCACATTCCTAAATCAAACCAGAAGATTCACACAGGGAACTAAACCAGTAGGGTCCAAGACGGTGGTTTTTGCCTTTTTTTTTTCAGTCCAAAGGATACATTTTCAGAAGGATGCCTTGGGAATTAGCTCAACACAATCTCAGGAGCAAAAAGTGCAGTTTGGCATCAGATTTCTTGTGCTCACTTTACTTAAAAATTAATATTGCCTTTGCCCCTTTTCTCTCAAAAAAAAAGTATGCTAAAGTAAGGTGAATGATTCTCAGCTGTTCAATACTGCTTAAAGGAAAGGACATGCTAGCATCACAGTGTGCTGCAAGCTTGTATTGAATCTTGCTTTTGGAAAACATCCAGATTTTCTGCCTGGCTTTGAGTAGGATCTTTAGATTCATATGCAAGTTGTTCTCTTTTTAAGAATCTTCTTTTAAGAATCTTTTCTCAGCTTCCAGAAACTTTGATTTCCCTTCACATTTTTTATTAATGTAATATATTCATGATAGGCTTGCAGATGGATTTGGTTTGATATTTCAGAAGACACTTAAGACCAGAAGAAATGGGAAACATTTTAAAATCTCAAGGCGTTCTGTTTGTTGTCAGGACATGGCATCTGGTCTCATAACTTGCTTTCTGTGGCAGTATTACCAAACAGAGTGAAGAGTAGAAAGAAAAAAAAAAAGTCTTCTTGTGATATTGTGAAAACTTCCAAAAATATGCTATTGATGTGAGCAATAAAGATGACAACTTCAGAAGTGTGTGCATGGAGCAGTCTCAGAAACTCATCTTGGGCATCGTGATTTTGGAGTTTTGGAAAGTATCCTTCAAGGCATGTGTGTGGCAAGATCATGATATGAGACTTTCTGATTATGAAATTAAATCAGGAAAAAAGGCAAAATTCACACAGTGAAACACTTTTAATTTTTTCAATTTAATTATTGACTCTTATTCATTGTCTATGAACTAATTTCTGTAGTCAGAGAACACATCTCACATTGTGCCTTCCTTTAAAATTCTGAGATCTTTAAAAGTCTTTCAAATCTTTAAAACCACTGAACTTCAGACCCTAATGGTAGCAATGTTTTGGGAATGCATACATGTCAAACATCTGAAAACATTTTGTGATCTATAATTAAAACCCTGTTATCCCACCTCATGAATGCACAACCTCCTTCGGACATTTGCATCATACCATTGCATCTCTCAGAGATGTCATTATGACTGTTCTGAATCACATATAAAACTAGGAAAGCTAGTCTTCATCAATATTTCAATGGAAATCAAAGATGCTCAAAGTAAAAAAAAAAAAGGGCACAGCACACTCCAGTCTGATTCATAACCAATCCACAGCCCAAAATACTGCTATGGATGCTGCGAGTGAGGATGACAAAGAACACTTTCAAACATCATCATGTTGCCATTTTTTGAGGTTAATAAGAGAAGAGAAAGATAAAAAATATAGACATCAAAATTTAAAAATATTTCCCTTAACTCACACACATGGTCCTTTGGAGCTCACTTTATATGGCTGTCTGCGGGTCAAGCTTTTCCTAACAAGTTAATGTCAACTTTTAGTGCTCAGCTAACTACATAGTTGTAGAATTCTCAGTGGCTGATGGGCACTATTTTGATTAGTTATGAATCATGTGGGAGGTTTTTGTGCCTGACTGTGACTAATAGAGTCTGAAATAAAAATTTGTAAGCATTAGTACAAATACTTACAAGTATGACCAATAATCTGGCTGAGAATTTTGGAGATCAATCAGTGGAGACATTTCAAATGGCCTAATCAGTGCAGTCCTGGAATTTACAGTTTGAATAAATTTCATTATTAGCAATGAACAAATGTTGGAGCTGGATAAATGCACATGAAACTAGCACTGGTTTCTTAAACAGGGAGGGAGAAAGAGGAAGACAGAAAAATTTACAAAGAGGAAACAATGCAAAAGAAAAAAAAATAAAGAAGTCTTATAACACACTGCGATTGAAAAAATTATTCCTCACTCACTCCTCACATTCTTTTTAAGAAGCTGCAGAGGGTTTTCATGAAGGCCCAGCATGCCTAAACAAGTTTCACTCAGAAAGAATAAGTTGTAAAAGTTAAATCACCACTCATTTCTTTTGAGCCTGTCTTCAGCTGTGATCTGTGAAGCTTTAGCTTCTCTTGTCAGGGTTAGATAAAACAGTACTGTAAGACCAAACTTGAAAAATAACAACTTTTCTTAAGTGTGTGGGAATCACCTATATAAGAACAGTACTTCCAGCAGTGGCCCATACAGCAGGTAGCCCACGTGGAAACCAGAAACTTCTGAAGCCCATACACCTGTTCATCCACCGTCCTGCCGAAGAGATTTGGCACAGTTATGTAAAATGCAAAAAACCCAGACCAAAGAGACACAATGAAATGCAACAATTAAGTAGAAAGCAAAGCCAGGGCTTGCAAACTGTCTTGAACAGTTTTTCATCCTTTCCAGAAACACAGCACAGAGTGGAAGGCAGATATCCTATGTGGCCGGCTTTGTGGTTTGTACTTTTGTGGGATCTGGAATCCTTTGGTCTGTTGACTCATGGTAGCGGCACTCTCAAGACCAAGGACTGCTTTGTTTGACCTAGTGTATTCATCAATATTTGCACTGTTAATTTAATTATTTTGCAAAGCACTTCGGGATGTGTCTCATGAAAGAGGTTACACACAGAAATCCCCAGTCTGCTTTCATTGAAGTTTTCTGACAAGCACATCTCAAATACTAGTCATCACTCATTTGCTTTTAAATTATTTCAATCATTGCAGTATTCCAGCTTTTAATATTGGTTTTGTGCTAATTAACCTTTCCTGAACTAATGGATGTATAAAAATTTCATTACATATTACTGAAATATAAATTCTATGACTGTATCAATTTCTTTCACCATCTAAATAGTATAACTTGTATTAGAGATGTGTGTATAGGTATATATTTTTTAAAAAAACCATATGCATATATATGTGTCTGCATATTTATAATTAAAATAACTTAGGAATTGCCTGCTTTCATCTCCAACTTTAACTCATGGATAACTAGCTGTAATAGTTACATATATGAAACAATTTATCTCTGAAATTATTTAATTGTATAAATCTAATCTGCCTATTAATTAGAAGCAATGTGTATTATAGTACTTAACTGAATTCTACTATAAATTCATTCTGTATTTATTAAATAACTTTACACTAACTCTAGAGCTGAAATAAATTCACTTTCTGTGATGTATTTTCTTCCCAGCATATGATATTTCTCCCTTAGAATAACTGCAACAGCACTATGGCAAATACTGCTCTTTGTCTAGATCTTGTGAGTTAAGCATAAGGACCATTCAAGAACTTCAGGACTCCAACATTTCTTTTGGACCCAAGGGTGAAATTTAAGTTGTTAATGAACACTAAATCACTTGGTCCTGTGGATAAAGAAAAACAATCTGTCATCTAACATCTTGGCATATCAGTAGGATTCCAAGCAAAAAAAGCTTATAACATCCATCTCTTCAGCAGCACACCATTTTATTGTCTTAAAAGATCAAGAAACTTGACAATAAACAATAAGAACGGGAAAAGAGAGCAACTGTTTCTATGTTGCATTGCTTTGGCTTAGCTAATTTTAATTAGAATGATCTAACTGATTATGAGCTTCTTAACTGTTCAGTGCCTATCTAGGTATTTCTAACATGCTCATCATTGTGGTATTTAAGCATCTATCATGCCTTCCCAATACCTATGTGTCCCCTTCTCTTCTACGGAATGCCGATTGCGAACAGTTCATCATATTTGGTTAATGTCTACATCTTGGTGATTATTTCTATTTGGCATCTCCAATTCATTTATGTAGCTGCAATCCTTGCTTAGGTTCTTGTCTTCTCCAGTCTCAATGCAGCAGTCTATTCTGTGATGAGAAATGCAACTTTTCAACCCAAAAAGTATTGGTGTGATCATGTTGCTGTAGATGTGTGGAGTATCTCCCTCTTTGAACCTGAGTAGTTTGTTAACAATTTTCAAGGTCCTTCATAGCGTATCTTTGCTCTTAGTCTCTGTTGATGTGATCACTCCAACTTCTGACTGGCTAAGGAGAATGATTTTCAAACACACTTAATGCTGTTCTCAGAAACATCTAAAACCAGATTGTATTCTTTCTACTTTATGTGATCTGTAAGGCCAAAAATGCCTCAAAAATGGATAAAATATACAAGTCTTTGGAGAGCTGCTGAGCATCCTGATGAAGATGCTTCCAGTTTCTGGACTCCCCCAATGGTCAGCTGCTGGATGAAATTACTGCATAATTTGATACTTAAATTTTAATGGTTTTCTATTCGGACGGTAGAGAAACTGGAAAAATATATCTCTAATGATCTATGGTAAAGTTTCCTAGGCTATCAGTCTAGAGCAATACAAGTAACAGCAAAATATAGGTAAAATGATAACGTATAGATTTTTTCTCCCTTAGATAATGGAGCCCAAATATTACTGTCTGGAGACACAAATGATACGTACATTTGACATACTATTTTAATATAATTTTGCAGGCAGTATGCTCCAAGTTACTCAAAAGCACTGAAGAGCTTTTCAATATTATGTATTTGGAAAAGTGACAAGTTGCCAAAAGTGGCATGAGCAATAAAGGGAATCCACAGCCCCAGATGTGTGTGCAAATTGTTCCAGATGCAACACCCCACCCACACCCCCCAATGTATTAAAATACCTTAAAAAAATTACATCAGTAAGCTACGTATTTGAATTCTTGGCAGATACCCAAAATACTGTGTATCTTTCTACCAAGCATGCTGAACCTGGAGTACTAGCTTGATCAGTAAAGCAGTGCAAATACAGCTGTTATTTAGACAGAATTACTTCAACAGAGAAACCTACGCTATCTCAACAATATATTTTGCATACAATTGATAAAATGAACAAAAATACTGAGGAAGAAAATATAGTCTTTTATTTACAGTCCTGTTCCTTAAGAATTTAAAAATAAATACTCCCACTACAATAACTTTTACAAAGTTACTCATGTGTACATCCTTTTTTCAGAAAATTAAACTTTCAGATACATACACACACACATACATATATATAATTACAATGTGAAGGGAGGAAAAAGATCACCTGAATCTATTTTAGCTTATTCTTTTAAGACATTTATAACATATTTAGTTAAGAACTACCCAAAGGAGATTGATTCCTGAAAAAGAAAAAACCTAACCCATACTAATATTCCATTATTTTTGCTGTACATTTTGGGGGACGAAAAATGCAAAGTTGAGCTCAATTCAAATGTCAGCAAATATATAACTGCTGAGTGTATGTGTGAACATTCAAGCAAAACTATTATTTTATTAGAGCAAATCCCATATGGACGTGAGAGACTTAAACCCTGTTACATCTGTGAAACTTGCTAGGTACACAGAGAATATTAATAGCATTGTGAGAGAATTTGCTATTTTGCTACATCTTCAGAGAGAAGTTAACTGGCCAAAGAGGCCTGTATTTTGATGGGTTTGAATCATATGGAGAGAAGAGAGGGAAGAGTACCAAAACCAATAATGTTCAACAGTGCAACTATTCAACTCAAAATTACTGGAAAGTAAAACAACAAAAAAAATTCCAAATAACTAAGTGAAAATTATACTATAATCCTACTAAAAAGCACCTTCCAGAGGTTAACTCTGATTCCTTCCAAAATAATATTTCTCTGTTTTTGCTTCCTATAAATTCTGATTATGGCAAAGCTTTTAGCTTGTACAAGGAGTAAGAGCTGAGTAAAATGGGCAGCTTTTCTTCTTGATGCTGATACTTCCCCCCAAATAATGTGTCATTATAATAAATACATATTTTCAAAAAACTGTAAAAATAATTCTGTTTCTTCTGGGCAACATACTGCCAGTCACCAGCTGGACATTCAGAATTTTGCCGAGAGCTACTACAAGAAATACTACTTTAACCAACTCGCTGTAAGAAGTCCTTACCCAATCTCATCTGACATGGAGTGTGAGTTTTCTCTTCCTTTGCAACAGGTATTACGGACGTTTCAAAACCAGTGCAATATGACAAGAATGCATTTCATTTCACACAGCGTTTCTGAACTTGACACCTGACATTAAATTTTCCTCTCAAGTTTCCTTTTTCTGAGCTATATGCAGATGAAATGGTGTTGTTCAGGCTATAGTAGTTACAGGTGGACGTGCTGAGCATGCACACAGATTATTTTATTTGACTAGCACTCAAGCTTACATAGAAGTTTGTCCAAGACAACTTGTCTCAATTATCTGATGTAATACCATCTTTCAATTAAAACAAACAAACAAAACCAAACACTTAAATAGGAAGTTATGTGAGGATGGACTTCTTCATATAAAAATGCACTAGAAGATATAGTGAGCTTTATATTGTTTCAGTGGCATTGTTTACCAACATTTTCATTTTAGGTATGTTACTGAGTCTCTTTACTTAACCCCTGGATAAGCGATGGAAAATAATATGTATAAAATGTAATGCCAAAATATCCTGTACCACACATGCTTCTGGTCTGGAGTCAAGCAGAATTTGAACATGTAACTAAATACACAAGTTCTGCCTCCTACCCAGAGACACAGGCTTTCTTGATGTAAAATGCATGAAAACATTGTATTGATGGTCTAACTCTGAAAGCAAGTTGTGTTCGACTTGGGTGAAGGCTCAACTCACGTGTAGTAAAGCTGCATAAGTCTTTATTGTGAGTTAATTAACATCTTACCCAATAGTTAAGTTCTTCTTGGACTGTTAGCAACTTTGCTTTTAATAAAAGAAGGAGTGGGGAATTATATGAATTGCTGAGGAAAAATGGTGATAAGGGAGGAGTTCCCCATGCCAGATGCCAGTTTGCTGAATATGAACATTACAGGGAATCTTTAAGGAATGAGATTTCTAATTTCTTTACAGCCCTTCTAAAATGCACTGAACTGTAACACAGAATGTATAACAATGAAAAGGAAACAGAAGAAAAGTACTGGTTTTCTGTGGAATGAAATAAGTTTTATTCCTTTACCATCCCATCAGATATGAAATAATAGAACTGTGACCTTGTTCCATTTTCATTTATTACGAATTTATTTTGTAATATGTACCATATTACAAAATGGTATCTTCTCCCCTTAAATCTAGAAGATAACCACACCACAAAAACTCATTCTAATAGAGAAAAAAAAAATTATAAGAAGAGCGTGGCTTTTATCCAGTTTATAGTGATTAGCTGCTAATGGCAATACATTCCTTAAACTACAACTAAGAAATGAGCATTATGGAAATTTAATATATATAATATCATATATATAATATATGATCTCTTTCCCTTTTGAAAATGTATGGCCATTGATGGTATTTTCCAGTCTCCCTTCCAGGATTCCCTGGGGCATTCTTCGCTTAGGGAATTCAACTGCAGTGTAACTCCAGAGAAGCTGCACTTAGGAATTGATGGATAAAGCAGAGATGCCATGCCAACAGCCTCATACACCATTCTCCAAAAGCTCCCAGAGCTCCAAAACCTTTTGAGGCAGATCCTACTACAGCAAAGAAATGCGTGTCCCATACTGGGATAGTTCAGGATAACTTTCATAATAGGATTCTAAAAGAGATTTTATTCAGTCCCATCACCCCATAAAGTCCTCTATGGAAACAGTTTACTGTGTGGGCCATAGGAATACTTACATAAGTAAAAATACTTGCATGTGCTTGATAAGCACTATCAACCTCTATAAAAAGTCTTCATATTACTTCGGTGTAAGATTGTTGGTTAAATTGAGGTGACAAAGTAGGAAATGAAATTTACGTGAAATATCTAATGAAAAAAATTATCCTGCCTTTACTCTAAGATGACATCTGTCAGAATCAAACCACAGGAAACGCAGTGCTATTCTACATTAAAGGGAAAGCTTATGCTCCTCGATAATGTCCTCCCAGGAAGGGTGTGCATTCTGGTCTAAGTTAACAGATCAGCATTTTTACTGCATTGCTTATTAAAACAAATCTTTTATACCCAGGCCTACATTTAACAAATCAAAATTATTTAAAGCCAGTTGAAACTCCATAAATTTATGAAAATATCGGAGAGTTTAGATATATCACATTTTCAACAAGTGAAAAAAACCCCCAACATCCATTTTAGTAATGTTTCTAAGAACATTTTTTGAATTGAAAGAAAAAAAAAGAAAGAAAAAATTCTTGCAGGCATTTTGAAAAAAACCTTACAAAACCAAGTATTTTTGCTTGCACAACTTTTGAACTTTGTAAAGTATGCATAAAATTGTTATGGTTCAAGCCCTATCGAGCAGTGGAAACATTTGGTAATGATATTAACAGGTCATATCTAATAATTCACTAAAAGGAGAGATTGTTATTTAAATTTTGCATCACATAAGCTATACACAAGGTAAACTCCTTTGCATATGCTCAAACCTTTGACAAATACTAAGGAACTAGGATTTCTGTGATCCTGGGATTTCACACTGCAATACAAAATGCCAGTTTTCTCAGACCTAACTTAGGAATCTCTAAAACAGTGTTGAATTCCAGAGCATATAAATTTGTTACCTTGTAAATACCACAAGGTGCATCAGACATATTAATTAATTAATCATCTGAAATACAAACATTTATAATTTGACAACAGTGCATTATGTTGTTCTACACCATACTATTTGTGATATTTTAAATTTAAAATCGTAACAAAATGCTCTTCTAGCTTGGATATTTCATTAGAGCTGATAAAAAAAATATTATTATGTCTTTTGACATACTTATTCTTACATTTTTCTGTCTAGAGGAACTATTTGAACTGGTCACTCAGTGGATATAGGATGCCACTTAGTTACATCTGAAGTGAGGCCAGCAAACTTTTAGACTACACAAATGTTTCAGAAAGATGTTCCATCCTGATTTGAAAGCATCAGAAAATGGAGAAACCACAACTATCTTTGCTAACTTCTTCCAGTGGTTAACTAACCTCATTAATAATAGTTTGGAATTTATTGTTAATTTTAACTTATCTGGTTTTAATTTTTATACTGTGTTTGTTGTATTTTTCCTTGCTGGCTCAAGACATCATTTAATTCCTAGTATTTTCTCTCTTTGAAGCAACTTATTGACTATAATCAAGTTACCTCTTAACTTTCTTCTTTCTTTTCATTTATATGCAAATACATATGCTTATCTTCAAAAGAAGAAAAAAAAAAAAAAAAAAAAAAGCGCGCAAGATCCATAACAATATTGATTGAGAAAAGGCCAAGAATGAACAAAACCAAGGTGGAAATGCTTTTCTGAAACTATAAATTTAGACTAAACACAGATTAAGGAGGTTGGTTTTCAAAAACACATCAACACTGTAATGAGATTAATATTTCTAACTTGTTTGGGTGTTTCTGAAATTCCACACCCACACAAGAATAAGGCATCCATTTTAAAGATATTGACCTGAAGCAATGAAGAAATAGTATTACTAAATAAGTAAATACAGTCTTCCACTGCCCCATATTCATGAGCTAGGAAAGATGCTTAGATCTAAGAAAGAAACTGATAACATTTTATGAGAAAATCAGGGCAATAAGAACCCTGTACATCATATGGAAAACAAAATATTTTATTCATGTTTCATGTAGAAAAAAATCAGACTGGTCAGAAATATCCTGGCTGTTTATATGTGGTTGGAGGAGATATGCTCAGCAATTCAGAAAGGCTAAATCCCATGTAAACTTTATCCATCCTAGAACCACTTAAGATGTTCAATTATTTTTCTCTCTGATTTCTGAACATTCCATCCATTCTACTTTTTCTATATGTACAGAAACTGAAGATCACAGAGTTTCTGTTTTGCTGCAAAAAATTTCTAAGTTAAATACAAAAGTACAATATTCATTCTCTACATTTATAACCCTATAATAAAGCACATGATAAAACACTTACATGGGTTCGTCATGGCAAAACACCTGCGTAGTTTTCATAGATTAATAAAAACGTAATGAAAATAAAATTTATATTGTCAAAATATCTCAAAGATGCTAAAAGGTCTTTTATTTTAAAAACAGTAAGTGGTAATGTTGTAAATAAGGTAAAGAGCACTTCACAAATTATTGATAATTACTTATCTAAACTGAATTATTCCTAATAAATTGATTTATAAATCAGTAATGTATATAATTTTCCTGGGTAATAAGCACCTACTGAGTAATATGGGTTTTAACAGTACTTTGCTTTACAGACTTTGAAAAACTTGGCAATAATAGAAGAGTTGAAACCAAAACAAAAACCAGAAAAGACGACCCTCTTAAGCTACATCTACTCTGCGGTCACAGAAGTGACTTCTAGGTAGTGTAGAGTTATTTTAAATTACATAGACTGGAAAATTATAACTGTCTAGCTATTGCTGCTCGGATTTATTTAGTCCACTCTACTTTTACTTCCTTGACAGAAGTGTAGACATATACCAGAGACTTCTGTTCTGTTCCATCTTTTTATTTTTCTTTCTTTCCTCCTTCTCTCCTTTTATTCTCCTCAAATTAGAAAGCTCAGGGTAAAGTCAGGCACCGAACTAAACGCAAGCTTAAAACATAACTTTTGGTGACACTTGGTGACCCCAAGATGAATGCTGGTTGATGCCCACTTGTTAGGTCTGTAGTGTCTAAGTATTTCATAATTAGATAGCTTACACAGGTATGTAATACCACTTAATATCTCTTCTTGAATACAACAATTTAGTTAAGGTTAGCAGGTGTACCATTGTCACTTCAATCACTGAAGACCCTTCTGGGTATCACTAGGGGTGTAAGTGTGATATAGTTAGCTGACGAATTCCATCCAAGATTCTTAAAGTCCTGATTAAGAGAATGAATCAAATAGTCTGGGTGAATGATTTTTTTAACCTTAAAAACAGTTTACCTAGTAGTGGAGGATTTAAGTTATGAGTGAAGTTGGAATCAGAATCTCTGTCCTGAGAGAAAAATCAGTACAACTGAATATGAGGAAGAAACAATGTCTCTGTGCTAGATAAGTTTTTGAATCTTCTGAAAAAATAGCCTAAATTCTCAAAACTTTGGCAAATTGATAATCTAAAAAAATAATTATAAATCTGATGAAGGAATGCTTTACATCTATAATTTTAATTTTAATCCCTTTTTATATACATTTTTCAACATTTCAAAATGAAAAGTCAATTTGAACCGAAAAATGAAACTTCACATTTAAAAATTTTGAAACAGGATATTTCAATAATTTAAAAACTTTTTTCCATAATATATTTCTAATGAGCATTTTCAAGAACAATCCTTTTTCACAAACAGTGTTACTCTTGTGGATTAATATTTCAAGTAAAACATTTAATTGAAAAATTCCTGATCAAGTGCAATACACACTATCTTCATGATAGATAGAAAACCATATCAAAACTCAACACTTGTTTTCTTAAACACTCACCAGAACTGCCTTGCTTGCTGTTCTTCTTTGGCTTTTATAAGCATTATTGCTTCTATTTATCACTAATAATATTGGAAACAAATGTATTTTACCTATTTGGTGGAAGACAGAAAACTTAATCTTTGGAATTTATTACTCTGCAGTCAGAATAGTCAAACCACAAATCAGATTATTTTTGCTGGTATATTATTGACTGTTTTCATAAGAATTATGTTTACTCATCTTCAGTATATCTTGAGTATATCTGCAGGAGCTAGAAACTCCAAAACATACAAGGGAATCTTGATTTCCTTATTTTTATTTACAGAGCAACAAGAGATATACTTATTTAAGAAACCTGCAATATATGAAATCTTCAGGTTAATACAAGAATGAGGTTTCATCACAGTTTCTCTATCTAATTTACTGCATGTATAACCCATGTTTGTCTCATGTATATTCTTTCCAGCTTCTAAGCAAAGGACTAATACCTTCCCCCTATTATCTTTCTGTAGTTTTTCACTTCACCTAATTTCTCTTCATAACTAACATAAACATTATCATAAAGAAGGGGATTTCTCTCTTATGGACAGCAAGCAGAGGTATGTTTTCTCCAGTTTATTGTTCCTATTTATAGGTCATTACCTAATTGTATTTAAAAATCACTTTTCTGTTTTACCTTAACTTCTGCTTCAAGATCGCTCCTTCTAAGAATCCAAATCCTTAAAATGCAGTAAGAATCTTCAAGTAACAGTGGATATTCTGTAGGTTTTTTTTCAGGCTCTGCTACTTTACAGGCCATGGTTATAATGTTACAGGAAGACAGCAAGACTCTTTTATTTCTTCCTCAAGTTTTACTTATTAAATTTTATATATATATATAT